ATATGGCAGTGAATGCTGGACAATCTCGACACAGATGAAGAAGAGACTTGAAACAACAGAAACAAAGAAAAGAATACTGAACTGAACAGTCCTCCTATATGGCAGTGAATGCTGGACAATCTCCTCACAGATGAAGAAGAGACTTGAAGCAAGAGAAACAAAAAGAAAAGAGTACTGAACTGTCAGTCCTCCTATATGGCACTGAATGTTGGACAATATCCTCACAGATGAAGAAGAGACTTGAAGCAACAGAAACAAAGAAAAGAGTACTGAACTGTTATGTAATATCAGTCCTCATATATGGCAGTGAATACTGGACAATCTCCTATAGATGAAGAAGATGAATGAAGAGAAACAAAGAAAAGGACAAATATCAGTCCTCATATGGCAGAATGAAGACAGATGAAGAAGAGACTTGAAGCAACAGAAACAAAGAAAAGAGTACTGAACAGTTATATGGCAGTGAATATCAGTCCTCCTACATGACAGTGAATGATGGACAATCTCCTCACAGATGAAGAAGAGACCTGAAGCAAGAGAAACAAAGAAAAGATTACTGAACTGTTACGAAATATCGGTTCTTCTATATGGCAGTGAATGCTGGATAATCTTTAAATTGCAAAGAAACTTAATAGATAGCCTGCATTTTCAGTCCTCCTATATGGATGAATGCTGGACAATTTCATTAAGAAAGTCTAAATTGAAGTCGCTACAAAATTGCAGTCGTGTTTTGATGAGACTTAACGCATGAGGCGATTGTAAATGATTCATGGTTTTGAGGACTATATGGTTTATATGGACATTTGTATTTTATATATGGTTGAAACCCCTCCTATCGTATTTGACAATATGACAGTCAAGCAGCTCAGTCCTCCTGACAGCCAGACACCAGCACATTTGATTATAGTGGTCAATGAAGAAGGACTTGAAGGAACAAAACAACCAAAAGAGAATAACTGTTATACATCAGTCCTCCTATATGGCAATGAATGCTGGACAATCTCCTCACAGATGAAGTGAGACTTGAACAACTCTCCGCAAGAAAATATACTGAACTGTATATATATATCAGTCCTCCTATATGGCAGTGAATGCTGGACAATAGATAGATAGATTGATAAGAGAAAAGATGAAAAGAGTTGAACTGTTATATGTAATCTACCTTTATGGCAGTGAATTTGGACAATCTCCTCATGATGAAGAAGAACTTGAACACAGAAACAAAGAAAAAGAGTGAACTGTTATCTAATATCAGTCCTCCCTATATGGCAGTGAATTCTGGACAATCTCCTCACAGATGAAGAAGACTTGAAGACAAGAGAAACAAAAGAAAAGAACTGAACTTTATGTAATATCAGTCCTCCTATATGGCAGTGAATGCTGGACACTCTCCTCACAGATGAAGAAGAGACTTGAAGCAAGAGAAACAAAGAAAAGAGTACTGAACTGTGTGTAATATCAGTCCGTTTGGCATGAATTTTGGACAATCTCCCACAGATGAAGAAGAGACTTGAAGCAACAAAACAAAGAAAAGAGTTTGAACTGTAATGTAATCAGTCCTCCTATATGGCATGAATACTGGACAATCTCCATCAGATGAAGAAGATTTGACGGTTAACACCTGGCCCAAAGGTACTGAACTGTGATGTAATATCAGTCCTCCTATATGGCAGTGAATCCTGGACAATCTCCTCACAGATGAAGAAGAGACTTGAAGCAACAGTCAATGAAAGAAAAGAGTACTGAACTTTTATGTAATATCAGTCCTCCCATATGGCAGTGAATGCTGGACAATCTCCGGTCTGATGAAGAAGTTTAGACTTGAAGCAACAGGGACAAAGAAAAGAGTACTGAACTGTTATGTAATATCAGTCCTCCTATATGGCAAAATGTGGATAAAATCCTCATAAAAGAAGAGACTTGAAGATTGCTGAAACAAAAAAAGGGTAACAAACTGTTATGTAATATCAGTCCTCCTATAAAAGTGAATTGTTCTCAATCTCCTCACAGATCTGTGGACAACAGAAACAAAGAAAAAAGAGTACTGAACTGTGATGTAATATCAACCTCCTATATGGCAGTTTCTGGACAATTCCTCACAGATGAAGAAGAGACTTGTGCATGTCAAAGAAAAGAGTTCTGAACTGTTATGTAATTTCTCCTATCGATGGCATTCGCTGGACATTCTCCTCTCAGATGAAGTTGTAGACTTGAAGCATCGACTTACAAAAGTTCTCTTGTCTGAACTGTTGATGTTCTTCTCAGTCCTCCTATATGGCAGTGAATTCTGGACAATCTCCTCACAGATGAAGAAGGACTTGAAGCAAGAGAAACAAGCCGCAGTACTGAACTGTCGTGTAATATCAGTCCTCCTCTATGGCAGTGAATACTGGACAATCTCCCCAGATGAAGAAGGACTTGAAGGAACTTGTCTGAAAGAAAAGAGTACTGAACTGGGCGTAATATCAGTCCTCCTATATATGGCCGTAATTCAGGACAATCTCCTCACAGATGAAGAAGAGACTTGAAGCAACTCCAACTGCAAAGAGTACTGAACTTCTGTCGACTCAGTCCTCCTATATGGCAGTGAATACGCAACAAACTCCCCCGGAGATGAAGAAGAGACTTGAAGCAACAGAAACAAAGAAAAGAGTCCTGAACTGTTATGTAATTCAGTCCTCCCATATGGCAGTGAATTGGACAATCTCCTCACAGATGAAGAGTGCCTTTGGTGGGGAGAAACAAATCCAAAAGAGTACTGAACTCTCGTATGTCATATGACCGCTCCTATATGGCAGTGAATGATCGACAATCTCTTTTCTTTTCCGCAGTGACGTGACCGTTTTCGGCTAATGGGATTCTGGTTGAGCATTTCTTTCTTTTGTAATTCTGCATCCTCCTGACCGTTTTCGGCTAATGAGATCCTGATTGGGCGTTCCCTCAATCAATGAAGGGGCAAGGCTTCAATCGTTCTTGTTCTAAAAAAAAAATCTAATTTTTGCCTTTTTTCAGTCCTCCTACATGAAAAATGAATGATGGACAATCTCCTCACCTGGACTTTGTCAAACAAGCCCGCCGCTAAAAGATTAGTCTTGACTTTACGAAATATCTTTTCCGCCTTATGGCTTGAATGCTGGATAATCTTTAAATTGTAAAAAACTTAATGGATAGCCTGCATTTTTTACATGATGGATGAATTCATGTTTATTTCAAAACAGTCTTAAATTGAAGTCATTACAAAATGTCAGTCGTGTTTTGATAAGAATTAACGTGTCCAATTCTAAATGATTCATGGTTTGTACTATATGGTTTATATGGACATTTGTCCCCTCAACCCAAAAACACCCGTCTATTCGACATTTCTATTGTCAAAAGCTCAAATCTGGAAATGACAGCCAGACACCAGCAAATTTGATTATAGTCAATGAATTGACGATACCAACCACATTTGAATAACCGTTTTGATATTCAATGTCTTTTTTTCCTAACAACTTCTCCTTAGATATTTATATATATATATATATATATATATATAGATAAATAGATAGATACGATGATAGATAAAGATGAAGTTGATTTCTCCCTTTCTGAATGGTCAATGTCAATATAACGAACACAGCAGGAATTGGAACTCGGGTCTCCAATTAGCTATCCCAAGCAATTATCGATTACACCACCCGCACATAAAACTTAGAGCACCTGATATACCAAAGATCGTCATCGAGATAATCCTGGCTCAATTATTTTCAACTCAGACCGCGTGTCCTGGTTGAAAAAAAATCAACAACCCCTGTTTACATAATTAACCAAACAACGCCAAAATTTAATCATCTCCCTCACTTAGACCTAGACCTATATAATTCCATCAATAAAAGCATTACTTTCGTTCTTTGAAGACATTTTCGAGGAGACAACGCGTTACACACAATGTTTCCACTGTTTCAATCATTTGCTTAATATATACAGAGGAGGCACGGTGGAGTAATGGATAGCGGCTTGGATTGAGGAATCGGAGAGCCGAGTTCGAATTCCAGTCAAATCCATTACATTCACTTATGTGCTAATACCCTTGGGAAAGGTATGAATCCTCTTCCTCTCCCTCCCCTCCAGCTATGGGTAAAATAGCAGGACTCTGGGTTATATAGCCTTGGATGGCAACTGGTCTAGAATAAGGAAAAACTCTGAATTCAAAACCTGCGGAGGGTCGTTTGGGGACCTTGTGGCACGTAGTGCACCAGGTCTCTGTATTCGTCCCTTCAAAAAGTGTGGATGGTCCTGCACGAAACCTTCACCACTATCATCAAATCTTATGTGCTATACATGCGGGTTGGGGATCGCTTGTGAATTCCTAATTCCCATGAAACTCTAATATTGGAGCCGGCTCAACCCACCTTGGGTGAATGCCGTTACAGGTACAGGGTAGGGGTTACTATATACATACACTTTAGGCAAAAGTTTTGGGGAAACACTGCATTTCCTTGAACAAAACCAAAATAAGATACATTTGTTTTGTTTTTTTAAATAAAATATAACATTTCAGTAACCGCACTGTATTTGTGTTCCTACAAGTCTCTTCGTCAACTTTGAAGAGATTGTCCAGCATTCACTGCCAAATAGAAGGACTGATATTACGTAAGGTTCAGTTTTCTTTTCTTTGCTTCTGATGCTTCAAGTCTCTTCTTCATCTGTGAGGAGATTGTCCAGCATTCACTGCCATATAGGAGGACTGACATTAAATAACAGTTCAGTACTCTTTTCTTTGTTTTTCTTGCTTCAAGTCTCTTCTTCATCTGAAAATTAAATGTCCAGCATTCACTGCTACATAGGAGGACATATATCTCGTAACAGTTCACTACTCTTTTCTTTGTTTTTCTTATATATATGAACACAATGATATACATCATCTGATAAATTAAATAGATCCATGCATTCAACAGACTGAGATAGGAGGATATATATCTCGTAACGGTTCACAAACTGGGATTTCTTAGATAAATATTTCAGACTGAGATAGATAGAAATATATAACGATAGATAGATAGATACAATGATATACATACAATTAGATAGATAGATAGATGAATAGATATAAACAAACTTGGATAGATAGATCGATAAATGAACAGACTGAGATAATATACATAGATAATATATGAATAGATAGCTAGATAGATATGATAGATGAGATAGATGGATGGATAGATAGATAAATAGATGAACTCTTCAACTCTTCTTCATCTGAAAATTAAATGTCAGCTATAGGACATATATCTCGTAACGGTTCACTACGCTTTTCTTTGTTTCGATAGATAAATATATATATGAACACAATGATATACATACAATTAGATAGATAGATAGATATGAACAGACTCAGATAGATAGATAAATATGGATGGATAGATAGATAAATAGATAGATGAACAGACTGACATAGATAGATAGATAGATAGATAGATAGATAGATAGATAGATATAAACAATAGATAGATAGATGGATGGATAGATAAATAAATGAATGAACAGACTGAGATAGATAGATAGATAGATAGATATGGACAAACTTGGATAGATAGATCGATAAATAAATAACAGACTGAGATAGATAGATAGATAGATAGATAGATAGATAGATAGATAGATAGATATGGACAGACTGAGATGGATAGATAGATAGATAGATAGATATGATAGATAGATAGATAGATAGATAGATAGATAGATAGATAGATGAGATAGATAGATAGATGGATGGATAGATAGATAGATAAATAGATATGAACAGACTGAGATAGATAGATAGATAGATAGATAGATATGAACAAACTGGGATAGATAGATAAATATGAACAGACTGAGATAGATAGATAGATAGATAGATAGATATAAGTTTTTCTGTTTCTTAGTTCTCTGCTTATTTTTTGAAATGCAGTTTTGGCTCTCCCAGTGCGTCTTCGGATCTTAGTGTCGCACGTTCCGTCCCCGAATTTTAATTTGCATTTTGGACCGATTCTTTTACTGATAACCAAGCTTTTTGTCTTGTGGCTTATACTTAGTTTTTTTCTTCTCACTTTCCTTCGCTACCTTCTGTAGACGCCTTTCTGTATCTGCTATCAACACTGTGTTATTTGCATATTTTATATTGTTAAAATTGTGATCGTCAATAATGAATCCTGGTAGAAGTTTTAATTCTCTCAGAATTGCCTCGATGTTTCGGTTGAATAAATCTGGCGAGAAGACCCATCCTTGTCTTACGCTCATTTTTTATTTTTGTACTGAGCTCATATTCTGTCCGTAGGCGGTTTGCTGCCAGTATAGATTACGGATTATTCTTATATCTTTCCCGAATATCTCAAGGGTGCTGAGCAGCTTTAACAGATCTTTGAGGCGTGTTTTGTCGAACGCCTTTGTGCAATTTATAAAACACAGGTACACAGGAAGAGAGACGTTAGAGTAATGGACAGCGTCTCGGATTGAGGATTTGCATTCCATTCGAATCCATTGCATTCATTTACGGGCTAATAATCCCCTAATACTCTTCTCCTCCCCTCACCCACTATCGGTAAATAGCAGGATAGACCGGGTTCTATAGCCTTAGATGGCCACTGGTCTAGAGCAGTAAGAAATGGCAACCTACTACGGGGAAAATATCTGCCTCGTCAGTCGTGTCTTTGACGAACCCGCACTGCTCTTGTCCTATCTCCAGTTTGATTTTGCTGTGCTTGTTATTCATCAGAATTCGGATGATGAGCTTTGTTATGTGGCTCATTAGGTTGATTGTCGTTTGAACCGGGCTTCGTAGACAGTGCTGTGAAAATAGATCTGCTTAGGTCTTCCGGTATGTCACCATTGTTGTAGATTTCATTTTTGATTTCTGTCAAACTTTTCTATGCCGAAATCCTCTAATACTGCCAGAATGTCTATTAAAATTCAGTCTGGCCCTGTCGCTTCGTTTCTGTTCAATTCAATTTAGCCGGTGTTGTTTGCCAGCAATCGTAAAACTATAATTCCGTTCCATTTCGTAAGAGAAATGTCAGCGATGTCAGTGGGTGAAATAAGGAATTCTTTTGACAGATCAATAGACGGGTGGAATTATAATTTAAAATGAAAATAATCATTTAAGAGTATTGATTGTGACACTTTTCTGTGTATCTCTGATCTGCTACAGCCGATTAGAGTCATAGATTTTGCTGCAACAGATGAAAGACACCCGACTGCCTAAAACTTGGGCTTCTCAAACTTTTTTATTGTTAGCCCTGTCAATTTACTTACTAAATTTTCTAAAAATGATATTACTGAAAATCACATTATATTACTCTTTAGTCGTAATCTCACGGAACAAATAAATTCGCAACATAAAATTTTATTTCTATATTGAACATGACAATAGACTAGTGGCTTAAAGAGTTCACCCTTGACATAAAAATTGTGAGTTAAGTCTCTGGGCCGAACAGTGTGTACACGGACTCAATGGAAACAGGGGACTAGCAATAACTGAGCAGTAGTAAATAAGATCTGGGCAGAGGAATGATAACAATCTACATAGATTAATTAAAATGTTCAGTTCAAAAACCCTTCAAGGCTACCGGAATTGACACTCATCATGGCCGAAACGTTGTGATAGCAACAGCAAAAACGTGGACAATAGTTTGAATGTAAATAATGTAAAATATATGTTTTATTGTTCATCAAAAATACGTTAAAAATTAAATTATTAACCCTTTGATCCCTGTGGTCCTGAACAATTTTAATCCGTCTGCCTGAGCTCCTGAGTCAAAATTCGCAAATAATTGGTATGTAATGTTTCACGGTAGATATAAAAATACTTACACGTATTTATCCACCGTTCAGGCGGTGGCTGGGCATTTGGTCATTTTTCTCTATCACTGTTCAACCGGTGGCTGGGCTTTACGTCATTTTCCTCTACCACCGTTCAACCGGTGGCTGGGCATTACGCCATTTTCTCTACCACCGTTCAACCGGTGGCTGGGCATTACGTCATTTTCCTCAACCACCGTTCACCACCGTTCAACCGGTGGCTGGGCATCCGTTTTCCTCTACCACCGTTCAACCGGTGGCTGGGCATTACGTCATTTTTTTCTACCACCGTTCAATCGGTGGCTGGGCATTACGTCATTTTCCTCTACCACCGTTCAACCGGTGGCTGGGCATTACGTTTCTCTATTTTGGCTCTCTCATTTTTTCTCACCGTTCAATCGGTGGCTGGGCGTCGTCATTTTCTCTACGTTCAATCGGTTTTCATTTTCTCTACCACCGTTCAACCGGGTTAAAACAACGAAAAATTAATTTAAAAAATAGTGTATAGCATTGAGCCTTTTTATTATAAACACGAAGAACATCTTTGTATAGAAAATGAAAAAACAAAAAATAGTACAACTTTGCTTAATCAACAAGTTCACCGACAAGCAGTAGTGATATTATGGGCACCAACGGCGGGGACCCAGGTTGAGAACTTCTGCTTTATACTTATTTCTACCAAACTTTTGTTAATAAAATTACATTTTTGGATTTTTATTTATAAATACAGAAAACATAAGAATGGGAAAAATTGAAAATTTAAATTAAACACACATTTATTTATTTATATTATTTTTGCAACTTAAACAATGAAGGCAATTTCTTGGAACATTCTGGCAATTTGCGTTTGATTGGAGTTTATTGCAATTCTAATGTTAAACAAACTTTTCTATATTTGGGAGGAAAGCAAAATTTAATTAGTTTTTTTTTTGTAAGATATTATGATTTTCGTTTCGGAGATTTTGGATTCGAAAATATTGGAGTAGTCTATTTGTTTTTCTCGCCCCATGTCAAACGTCGGGGTTACCATATGTAGTGGTATATTAATATCAAATGGACAATTGTAGATGTCTGTTTATGGCTGCGTGAATAACAGGACCACACAATTTATATTAAACGTAAAATTATCACAAGCATGGAATACTTGAAAGGAACAAAATGGTTTTATAACATAAGATTTTTATTTTTTTTGTGTATTGATGTACATGCGTACAAGTTAAATATCTGTTGGTGTTATGTTCCTTAGATTGCGAATATTTTTATCTGAATACACAAAAGTTGAATTAATTACAAAGCTGAGAAATGAGGAATAAACTGTAGTTTTAGAAAAATGTTTCAAACAGAAAAGTTCGTGAATATCCTTTTAACGTCTGACCACCCATGGTCGAGACGAGAATCCTTTTGAGACTACATCTTGCAGCAAGAAAATAGAAAGCAGAAAGCTTGTGTCTGCTATTTATAGATAATGTAATCACGTGACCGGATCACAGCAAATTGGCGGGAAACTTGACTTGGTCACGCGCTGGAAAAATATTTGAACGTGGATGGATTGCAACGTCTGCTTGTGTGTTTATTGACTAATTAGAAGGTGATATTTCTTGAAAATATTTACTAAGCTGAGTAGGATTTCTCATCCATTTTTTGGCACAAAAATGTAGAAAATTCAACATTGATAAAAAAGTGGTAGCAGGATGCTACACTATCAAACTGATTTCATTTTGGACCTTAAATCGAACAATTTTGGATTACCGACTGAATCCGGACATACTAGCTAAAAACTATAACAGGTGTTGGTATAATAAAAGAGAAGGTGAATGATTTTTATTTTGGTGACATATGCAGAAACTCAAGAACAGTGGAATGAAAAAGAAGTATTTAGTGTTGTATGAATGATGTCGGAGGAACACAAGCTCATTTACCTTACAAGGTATTTCAGCAATCAGCCCAATCATGGTGGACAGTTTTCGTCCTTTCATTAAAGACTAATGATTGACCGACTAAGGGCAGATAATCAACAAGGGGAGATAACAAGGACTTGAACAGCGATAAGGGTAGATAATCGAGTGCCGATATTTGTCTAATTACATAGCATTTATTTTTATATCAATATTTATTGCTGCCTCTTGAAACTTAGTTTCTTTTCTTTTTTACTGGAATATCGAAGTTTAGAGAAACCATCAATCTTGCCTACCTGTGTGTTCAAATGACCATCAAACATTTATGGAATATATTTTTTATTTCTGTGAATCATTATGTAGAAGCAAACGAGTTAGATTGGCTTGTATCTCGTGCAAAGGAAAATAAGTTCCTTACCTCAATACACGACACATAACAGCGGCATTTTATTCCTTGAAAATGGCATAACTCTCCCCTCCTCAATTTAGTTTATTCCAGAGGTGTATCTTCGGTAACGGTGCCTTTTATACCACTTATGGTTTGACCAATAGCAAGTCGTGTGCAGATTGATCGAACTGGATGATGCTATTTGACTGTGTAACTGAGGACAAAGCGAAAAATGTTAATTGGACAGTCGGCCATGGTGCTGGGAGGATAAAAGAGAGCTGAAGCAGTGAAAAGACGAATAATTTTTACGTTGGGGACGTGTTCGAGAACTGAAGAATGGTGGATTGAAAAAGAAGTATTTAGTGTTGCACGAGTGACGTTAGAGGAACATAAGCTCATTTTTTTGCTAATGTTGACTGAAAGTTTGCCACTTTGGTGCAACAGCCAAGTAGATGAGTGATCATACCTTTCATCTGCCTTGAACATCTACTGGGTCTAAAGCTGACTTCCAAATGCAAATGGAACACATATATTTATGTAGTGCAAAAGATGTTAGATTCCTTGTATCACTCCAGAAAATAACTAACTTCTACAGCTATGCTCTCTTTAGAAGAGTCAGATCAGGTCAAGAATAGAGTATTGCTGCCGTATCTGGTCTGGTGCTGCTCTGTTGTCACTGGCTAGCCTTGACAAGAGTCCAAAAAGGATTACGCGGCCTTGTGGTTGATGAATTATTCTCTACCTTGTGACCCTGAAATGTTCATATTGCAGCTTCTGTTGTAAATGCCAAACAGTACAACATGCCGTTTCCAAATTTCTGGTTGGGTGATCAATTGCGCAGGGACCCTAAGAGCAGATGATCATACGACAAAATGATGATGATGACGATGTCGATGATGACGACTTATGATGACAATGATGATGATGCTGATGAATATGATGATGCTGACGATGATGATGATGATGACGATGTTTATCATTACCATGACGATGATTATGACGATGACGATGATAATGATGGCGATGATGCTGAAGATGTCGTTTATGATTACGATGATCATGATTGTGACGACGTCGATGATGACGATGATGATGATGGCGATGATTATGAAGGTGACGATGATGATGACAACAATGACGATGACGACGCTGATGTTGATGACAATATTGATTATTATGTGACGATGATGATGATGTTTATGACGATGTTGATGATGACGGTTATGATGACGATGAGGATGGCGATGTTGACGATGATGATGATGATGATAACGATGACGGTTATGACGATGATGTCGATGATGACGACGATGATGATGACTATGTTAAGGATTATGACGGTGACAATGATCACGATGACGACGATGATGATTTTGGGGATTGTGACGATCATGATGACGATGATGATTATGAATGTGACGATCATGATGATGGCGACAAAGTCGATGATGTTGACGATGATGATGACTATGTTGAGAATTATGACGGTGCCGACGATGACGACGTCGATGTTGACGATGATCATGATCATGATGAAAACATTCTAAAATAACGTCTATATTAATAAAGTCTAAGTAATGTTTAAATTAATTTAATTTATAGCAGAATAGTTTTTAAAAGGAAATAGGTATTATTTTAATTAAATAAATGTAATTAAAATCATAATTTATTGCGTTGGAACTCGTTACACGTAAAATGTTTTTTTCTTTTACATTATAAGGAATAAAGCTAAAAGTATTACAAAATTCTTATTCGTAGAAACCGATTTGACTAAATACATGAACGAAAACGGGAAACTGTTGTTCACGTTGTTGATTTGTAATCAGTGTTTACTGTTCAGATTTTGTTCTGCAATTTGCTTGATGGCTACTTCCATGGAAAGTGTTGAGACGAACTTCATTCTTTAGTTACGCCTGTTAGAAACTACACGGTCATAACCCGCCATGCCACCCACATAGTAGTAAACGACTGCCATTCCTTCATTATTCCATTGTTGAGAAGTAAGTTTCACTCAAACAGCTTCTTTCCGTGGTCAATTGCTCTGTGGAATCGACTCCCAAGAGGATGTTCTCCCGATCTCTACAATCTTAACCTGTCCAAATTAGACTTTATCTTACCCACCTATCTGCGTAAATTGTGCCTCTGTAACCTTCTACTTCGAGTGGCTCCGGGTCTTGTACAAGGCAAAACTCACTGTAAAAAAAAAGAAAAAAAAAAAAAAGACAGGTCGAGGAAAATTAGATGGGTTTGAGTTCGCATCATTAATTTTTGTTCATATAACTTTATTATGTACGGCAAAACTTATTTAAGTAAAGATCTTGTTACAAGTTTATAACAGAGAAATATTCCTTGAAATATAGTAAAATAAAACAATTAAACAATTTTTTTAAATTTTAATAATTTATGTAAAATATTAATTGACCCGACTTGTCATTATCAAAGACGTTTCAGCACGAAATCAGTGTGACTTCTCACCATCAGAATGATTACTATTTCCAAGCATGTGCACCTGTGTTTCTTCAATATCCACAGAGCCAAATTATCGTTTATACTACTGTAAGCGTTCTGAAAGCAAAGGAAATGTTTGTCGCAGATTAATTCCACAACACAGAGAACAAATGACTGTAAGTTCAGACTCGAATATCAGGGACAGAAAGAAATGCCGAAAACTCGATTCGCAGGTACTATCTCATAAATCCCAATGCACGTAACCAGTCAGAAAAATAACTCACTCGACGATGAATGCGGTAGCCAAAATACATCAATATTTTCTCTCGATTCGAGGACACCAACTGCTTGTATTGGCCGAGCATTTTTTTTTCATTCGTCGACAACTGGGAGAGGACGCTAAATTTTTGCATATCAAAATACTTTTATAGAGACTCCTGCGACGGACTTGTTTTTTAATATAAATATTCCGTCTTCAGCATGTCATGCGGAATACGTGCCCCTTTTTTGGTAAGTAATTTTCTTTTCCGTTGTAGGATCCACGCGACGCGCTGTCGCTTGGTTTGACGAAGTAAGTCACCGTTTTCTTCGCTATAACTACAAATATATTGCGCTTTATACAAAGGTTAGAAATGATGGAACTAAGGCGTCTAGTTCGTCTGAGCACTTTCCATGGAAATAGCGAGAGAGCAGCGAGAGATTTGCAACGTTTCGTCTTTTAGAAAGGGGTTGTTAGGTGGAAAATAATTCATCACCCAAAAGGACGCGTATAAATGGAAACAGATAACATTATTTAGAATCAAAAGGTAAAGTTTTAATTTTCGTAACACATAATAAGAAAAGAAGGCTTGGAGAATTTAACACTCACGTGAAATATTGAAGGGAAGTGAGCAGAACATGGACTTGAAAGAATAGCAATGAAACAAAATTTGTTAGAACAACAAGTTGTGTAGAGCAGGACAATCACAAGCACTAAACAACAATTACCGCTTGGAACCGTTGTTAAATAATACTTTACTAGACTATTATTTTTAGGGGGAATAGTATCGCTGCTCGGACTTCCTGAGGTTGACCTTTGAGGCCAGATGGAAGACAAAATAGAGGAAGTCGATTTTGATTGCCTGAGCCGGCATGGGAATGACAGATAGCGAGAAAGGGTTTTCAGGTAGTTGGTTCTTACATGTGTTTTCCCTGTGTTGAAGTTCTTTTATCGCTGGACTCCAAACAGCTAGCGATTACAGGTCACAAGATAAGAATGCAACTTTATTATCGAACTGACGCCGTCGCCCAAGAGCACCCAAGCCCGAGGGAGCTAGACAATATTGTTCGGTGTAAGACGACAATTTCTCTTTTATTATTAATGTCTGAACAAGAAAATATTTAGGTACTTTGAAAACCTAAGATCAGAGTAAAATTTACCAACGCTCCAATATATTTTCGACATTTCAATGTAATTTTGTTTGGTTGGAAACTCACCAGAAACCAATCAAATTTTATTTTGTTTTTCTTTTCAGCTACTAATTGGCCAGGATTGATGTCTTTGGCAATAAAAACCGACGCACGCTAATAACGAAAAAAAAAAAAAAATTCGTTGACAACAATATCGCAAAATTAATTTTATTTTATTTCAACTGCGTACAGAAAGTTGTGTGGAGAGAGTTTAACTTTATTTCACCAACTGATTGTGCAGCTGTTGCCAAGATTAGAACGAGAAATCGGCGTCCCTGTTCATTTGATTCACTTTCACACAGAGCGGTATGCCCATCCGTCCCCTACCTATGGGTTAAATATCCGAGGGACTGAGCCGTTCAGACTTGGTTAGCAACCAGTCTAAGAGAACTGAAAATCTGTAAAATTCAACTTGCTACCGAAACCACTGAAGCAACTCATAGCGTGTTGAGAAATGTGTCCCCGATACGCTTGCTGGTAGGGTCTATGGAACTTTAGCAGGCAATTGTATGCTTCATGAAGAAGACCAGCACGTCAGGTAATACAGAAGAATCGTCTTCGTTTATAACAGGGGTCGTCAAACGGTGTTCGAGCAAACCCCTATGGGTCGGTGTGTAATTTCAAGTTGTCTATGAGTGGGTGTGCGAACAACTTGCACAACAATATCAGACCTACGCAATTTATCCCTTTGGAGATCTAACCATACCCCAAACTGGACCTTAACATTAGTCAAAGAAGGCCTTTGCCCAATGATGCAGTGCCATGAGTACACCGGCTGCATACATGGCTGTGTCACTCCATTTTCAACAAATCGGTCTTTGGTATTTTATTCTTGAGATGTTTAATATATTAAATATTGCATCTTTTTGTATCTTTTGTAGCATACCTACAGACAATAATGGGTATGTCCCCGTCACATAAATACAGTAGTAAATACTGTATGTTGATCTGCAGTTGGAGATTCGTCTCCAGCTGTGCTAGTCAAACTCTCTGACTCCGGGCAGAGAGGATCCCCAGACGAGGCTATGTCGAAGCGCAGAGTCTCGTCTCGGGAAACAGCTACCCGACCCCGTTTAATACCGGGTTCTACGGGGAATTTTTGGCCGAACCTACGGGCTCGGATACCCCACATTAAATTCGGCCTTGTGCCACATCTGACCGCGTGGTGGGGTTAGCAGATATCCTGCAGTTGGAGATTCATTGTGAAATTCAGCAGTGCTGCTGGACAATCTTATATGTGTTGTTCTTGTCCTAAGTATTATCGTTCATTACCAGCCTTCGTTTGATTATTCTATTCAGTAAACTTCCCTACGTCGAAACAGTATCCAAGACATTTTATGGTGGTTATTGACTCCCTGGTCAAACCCACCAAAACAAGAAAAGAAAAAAAAAAAACACCCCGTTCTTATATTGTTATATTTTTGTATGGAACACAGAAATTAAATAATATTTATGTTGGTCACACCACAGACTCGCTTTCATGACGCTTGACTCTACATTTGAATAATAACTCTTTTTCGGCATTTAAAACAACATGCCTGGCCGCATGCACAATTCCGGAAAATCCTTGTTGAAAACACAACTATACTTAAACATGAAAACAATAAACAAAAACTTGAAGCTATATACATAAAACAGTTGAAACCTAACATGAACAAAATAAACTATGAAATCTCCACAAATATTGTTAAATGCCTATAATTGGTAACAGAACCCATTAGTTTATACCAACAGCTTCCCATACTTAATAATTCTCGAATTCACTCTCGCGTGGTCATGTGTGACGTCATGAGCTGCGGTGCGATTTTCGCTACCAGCGTCTTATATGCACGAGTTTGTCGTTGCTTGAAAATCATCCATGTAAACAATCACAGACTATCATCACTGTCTTGTCCGTGTATTGCTTAATATATTGTAATGTAATTGTCATCTTTGATAATGGTTTATGTAAGCCGAAAGCTTAGATAGGATTAAAAAATATGTATCAATATGGTGATTTTCTTTCTTCGTTTAATGATAATGTTATTAAGATTATCAGACGATATCAAAAGAATTTACATAAAATAAATAGACAACACTTGCCTATACTATTTAATGAAACATGCATCAATGAAAAACTGCTGCTTAAATACACACACCCAATATATATATATATATTCATACATACATACATACATACACACACACATATATATATATATATATATATATATATATATATATATATACAAAGATTGATTGAAAGAACAGACAAAATCTTTTTGTTTAAATTTTTATTATATTTCGACTTTTGCAGTCATTTTTTAAGAATCAGTATAGTGTCTGGTGGGTAGTCATAATTCCTTTGTTTGCATCCTGGTATTCTTTGGCATATTGGAATTTTGAAAGAGTCTAACGTAACCTCATCATTTACCCACAGGTTGATGCCTTAAAGATGGAGGATGAAAAGTTGCCCTTTTGCTGTATTATGCTCTATGGAGTAACTGTCGGAACTCCGACAAAAATGCATTTAAGTTGTTTATTTGGATCGTGCTCCAGTTCTTCGGACGGTCGCAAGGTAGTCTGGAAGATTTGGTCAGGGTTATTTTAACCTGAACGATCGATTACGTTCCAGTTGACCTTGCGACGTCGATTAAAACACTCTGCTTTCAATCATGGAGAAAGAGACGAATATTTCGAAGGAAGAGATTGCCAAGAGCTTGAATATCGATTTCTCAACTGCCTTTCGCCATTCGAAGAGACTTGTGTTCAAGATAAAGCGATCGATTGCGGCAAATCGAAAAGGTGTCATGACAATGCAGTCCTTGCAGGCCCGTAAAGAGTTGAAATGGGAAACCCTTAAGCAAACATCTATCTATCTATCTATCTATCTATCTATCTATCTATCTATCTATCTATCTTTATTCCCTCTATCTGAGCATCTATCCTCCTTCCTATCTCTTTCGCTCTTTCTTTTCCACTCACATCTATCTATCTATCTATCTATCTATCTATCTATCTATCTATCTATCTATCTATCTTTTTTCCCGCTATCTAAGCATCTATCCTCCTTCCTATCTCTTTCGCTCTTTCTTTTCCTCTCACTTTTATCTATCTATCTATCTATCTATCTATCTATCTATCTATCTTTTTCCCTCTATCTGAACATCTATTCTCCTTCCTATCTCTTTCGCTCTTCTGATTCCTCTCTTAAATGCGATGTCAGTCTTTATCTTCTGTCTTCGTAATTTCTCTTTTATTGTTATGTCTCTTTAATAATGTTTTTTTTCTCATATTCTTTAAAGAGTTGAAATGGGAAACCCTTCAGCACACACCGTATGCTCCTGACTTGTGCAGATTTTCATTTCTTTCGGTCTTACAGAACATTTTTACTGGGAAAAAATTGGCTGTCCAGTCACTCAAAAACTACCTTACAACATTCCAACAAAAAACACGAAGTTCCTGCTAAAAAATGGCATCGACAAGCTCGTACACCAATGAGAGACAGTTGTTAAAATCAATGGAGACTTTGTTATTTGTGAGTATGTAAAATGTTATTTTTAATTTTCTAATCGTCACAACCTTTTGAAGTTATCTAATATATATGGCTCTGAGAGAGTAAAGTCTGAGATTTTTGGCAAAGTCGATCTGTCTTCCAGGATTATGAATTGGCGCTACAGAATCCCAAACAACGAAATATTACAAACAACGAAACCGCATCACTTGCGGACTACTAACAGTAGCAACAACTACAATGGTTAGCTTGATGGGAAAATGATGACATAAACAAGATGTTGACATTCCACAATACTTTAAACAAAAGGTTAGAAAGGAAACTCTCTATCAATACAGGTAAGAGTGATAAATGATACTGCAATTGAGAAACATCTATTTCCAGAAAAGAATCAATTGAAAAACCAATTTTCAGAAAAGAATCCTTCTTAAGAGAAGAATTTTTTATAAATTTCAACTGAAAGCAGTACTGGCTGTTTGGTCAATGAATGCCAAATGTTTCCTTATAGAGAATATATTACTATTACTATTTATTTCAGTTTATGCCTACCTACCTGTCATATTTTTACATGTTTAAACGGCTGTCAATATATCTACTGAGTTTGTTCTTATTTATTTCAGTTTTTCTTATCTATCTATCTATCTATCTATCTATCTATCTATCTATCTATCGCAGTCTGTTCATATCTATCTATCTATCTATCTATCGCAGTCTGTTCATATCTATCTATCTATCTATCTATCTATCTATCTATCTATCTATCTATCTATCGCAGTCTGTTCATATCTATCTATCTATCTATCTATCTATCTATCTATCTATCTATCTATCTATCGCAGTCTGTTCATATCTATCTATCTATCTATCTATCTATCTATCTATCTATCTATCTATCGCAGTCTGTTCATATCTATCTATCTATCTCTATCTATCTATCTATCTATCTATCTATCGCAGTCTGTTTCATTCATCTATCTATCTATCTATCATCTATCTATCTATCTTCATCTTTCTATCATATCTATCTATCTATATCAGTCTGTTCATATCTATCTATCTATCTATCTATCTATCTATCTATCTATCTATCTGTTTGGCTTCTTGTCTGTCTGACTGTCTGTCTGACTGTCTGTCTGTCATATTTATGCATCTATCGATCTGTATGTCATTCTGTCTGGTCCGCATTACCCGTTTTAGCTGCAAAAACACATTCAGGCCAACGGACGCACCAACAGCGTCTGTCTGCCCATGCATGCACACAGAAACGCCATCAAATAACTCATCTCATATATGCACGTCGCACACACGCATACACATTCAGATACATACGCAAAACGCACAAAGGAAGGTACTGCCACTCAAACATAGGAAAAAATGCTTCTCCTCGACCACCTTGCTGATCATTGCCAATTTCAGATCTATCGATTTTGCATGTTAGTGACAACAGATACTAAGTCTGATGTAGCGGTTACCAAGGGAGATTGATTAGTCGTATCAGATGAGTCACACATCTTTTCTCTTTTATTCGTTTGGTCGGCTTGACGTTGGCTAGTTTTTCTTTCTCTACTGCGTCCGGCTGAAGAGAGTGAGATAGGCGGAAAGAAAGAAAGAAAGAAAGAAAGACATACACTGGCGCCTCAGAGAGAGGGAGGGAGAGAGAGAGAGAGAGAGAAAAAAAGAAAGACAGTCAGACAGACATACACTTGCACCTCAGGGAGAAAGAAAGAAAGAAAGACAAATACTGGCACCTAAGAAAGAAAGAAAGAAAGAAAGAAAGAAAGAAAGAAAGAAAGAAAGAAAGTCAGACAGACATACACTTGCACCTCAGAGAGAAAGAAAGAAAGAAAGACAGACATACACTTGCACCTCAGAGAGAAAGAAAGAAAGAAAGACACACAGACACTGGCACCTCAGGGAGAGAGAGAGAGGAAGAAAGAAAGACAGACAGACAGACATACACTGGCACCTAAGAAAGAAAGAAAGAAAGAAAGAAAGACACTGGCACCTCAGGGAGAAAGAAAGAAAGAAAGAAAAAAGAAAGAAAGAAAGAAAGAAAGAAAGAAAGAGACCACGAGATCGTAGGAAGAGAGAAGGGGGGAATGGCAAGAAAGAAACTGGCAATTGTATCATGGGAAAAAAATGATAGATAAAGACAAAGGCCAAAGAGACGTAACTGACATCGCGACAAAAGAAAGAAAGAAAGAAAAAAAAAGAAAGAGAAAGAAAGCCTGTGGAGGGGGGGGAGAAATATTGAGAGAGTGCACACAAAGTGGACTAATATGAAAAGAGAAAGAGTGAGAGAGAGAGATACTGAAAGATATACTAGCGTCGCGGGAAGAGAGAGTGAGTGGAATAATTAGAGAATAACAGTGAAATCGGGGAAGGACAGAGAATGAGAGAGATGGAGAGATTCAGGCAGGTACTGGGATCGTGGGGAGAAAGAGAAGGAGAGAGAAACCAGTGGCAGAATAACAGCACAATTATGAGAGAGAGAATGAGAGAGAGAGAAATCGTGGGAAGAAAGAGATGAAGAGAAAGTAAGAGAAAGAGATAAAAAGGAAGTAAGAGAGAGAGAGAGAGAGAAAGTAAGAGAGAGAGAGAAAGAGAATGAGATGAAAAAAGAGAATCAGGCACTAAGCTCACGGGAGGTGTGAGACAGTGTAAGATAGCGATAGAGAAAGAGAAGCAGAAACTGACATAGTTGGGAGGGAAAGAGAGAGAAAGAAAGAAAGAAAGAAAGAAAGAAAGAGACCACTAGGAGAATAACAGGCTATAGAACCCAGTCTCTCCTGCTATTCAGCCAATAGCTGGAGTGGGAGAAGTTGGATTCATATCATGAGTGTAACGAACCCGATTGGAATTCGAACTCTGCTTTCCGAGTTTTCGTTCCAACATACTGTGACACATACACGTATATATATATATGTTTTAGTAAAATTGGAGTAGATTTGAATAGCGAAATTAAATCAGAGCATTTTGTTTACTGATGGGGAAATCTGATCTAGGGCAGAAGTTGTACCAATTGAATCTGGGTCATCAGGAGACAATGGAAATAGTCAAAATAATTTTTATTGATTAAAAATTGAAATACAGCTGAGCTAGAAGGAACTTTGGAATTCACATGATTTTGGTTGAAGCAGCCAGAAGCCCGTGATAATCACGTGCGAAGTAGTAGGGCCGAGGGTCAGTTATAATCAGCCGGGTTTATCTATATAAACGCGTAGTTATGCTGAAAAAGATAGAAAATTGAAGAGAGAATTGGCCCGGGCGAGCGTTGGGAGGAGGAACGCCGCTATAACTTTAAGCCCCGCACAGAAATCTTTATCCCTCCATCTCAAGAGTCATATATCGTTCTGAGACGATTTAACAACAAGATAATCACACACACACACACACACACACACACACACACACACACACACACACACACACACACACACTCTCTCTCTTCTGTGTCTAGAATCCAGTGTATGAGATTTTACGTTAAATACTTTTCTTTTCTGTAACATGTTTCTCTTCTCTACTATTCTTTTCTGCTATATAAAAGACATTAGCAATTCAACTATTGAAACGATGTTTGTCCAGCTTTGTGCAGGTATTATTATTATTATTATTATTTCTGCATTCTCAATTTCTTAGCGCAGACACCCCAGCCGTGTCTACATCGTCAGTCGACCGTGAATGGACGGACATCACTTCTGCTTTCAGGATCAAACAAATCACAACGTGGGCAGGAAGCAGGATTAAACCAGTGGACCGGTCGAATCATCTACGGATGATCAGGAGACCTATGGCCACTCCGTTAAGTTCGGTTAGGACCGAGTAGAAACCTCAGCCCCGAGAGGAAGACGCCAGAGGTTGACGGGCCGGGGCGAAAATGTTAGAATACTTCGCTAGAATTCACGCAGTCGAGATACCAGCTATGGTAAGTCTATAGAACAATTGGTATGAAAATATTTCCAGGAAAAAAAAAAAAAAAAAAAAACAGACGAAAATCATATCACGGCGTTGCGAAAGTCACTGAAGTCGAGATGCCAGGTCAAGATCACTAACATTACAGACCCTTCTTTGGATTTTGTCGAGAATCTATCTATCTATCTATCTATCTATCTATCTATCTATCATCTATCTATATATATATATATATATCAAAAGTACTGGACCAGATATGCTAGCAATATTAAATTTAGGAACAAATGGTAGATTTATAAATATCCAGGATGGATTCTGACGAGAAAAATGTTCTGTCACGATAAAGTGAACCAAGATTCTATAAAGGAGACCTAGCAATTGATTCAATACAATAACTCTACTTCATGTCAGTGGAAAATGTGAGTCCAAGAAGGCCCAATGAATTTCTGGTCTGCATTTTAGCATCAGCCATACAGATGAGAGACAAAATTGTACTGTATGAGGAGGGTCGGCAACCTATAGTTACGCATACCACGCATGGCAAGCCAAGCAATTTCCAATGGCACGCAGCCGCAAATGACATCACGAAATTTTATGTATGTCTCTGTGTATACATATTTGCGCGGGTGCCGTAGACATACCTGGATTACTATACAGGTGGATGTTTAGATGACGATGTGTGACGGACACACCTATTGCGTTTAAGGATCTCTGATTCTTTTTGGGATATAGTCGTGAGAGTGAAATTCGTATATAAAACCTGAGGTACATTTGGTCTCTTGTCGTCTCCAATATTGTTATACCACTGATGCTATGAAAACTTTGCTGAAAAGTGGGTTTGCTCATTTCAAAGTTCTAATCAAAAAAAAAAAAGTCTTGAACAACAAACATCCCCAAACTGTTTGTTTAGGAGTTATGCATCATGGGGATGGTCTTACACTTGATCACCAGTCGACTCCCACCATATATGTATGGATGCATGCAAACAAGTTTTATTGATTTCAACCGACAACCGTTTTATAAAATAATTTCCCAATTTTCGAATAAGACATTGCACATCGGGTTCCAAATTGTGAAAAAAAACTGCCCGAAGTTCACTTCTCGTTGTTTTCTGTGGAAGCACTTTCGTATGTCTCAGTTATTATCAAGAACTGTGTATTGTCACTGTGGTAGAAAGGATATTGTTGGCTACATCCGGTAATATTTTTAAAACGCTGGAATTTAAATTAGTTCAAATTAATGTCATGCGCAATGGTGAAATAGAACTCGACAGCGCCGGAAAAGGATATATCAAATATTGATATGTTATTGTTATTATTTATGCATTATCTGTCTATATTTCTGAGATGAGGCATTATGTATACTATTTCATTTATTTATCACAACGTTTCGGCCGTTGTACGCTCCGGCCTTCTTCAGGTGGTTAAAATGTCGAACTGAACCCTTTATTTCGTTCGCTGGTGTAGACTGTTCTAGTTCCACGTTTAATGGATGTCATTTATCAGTTATCTCCTGTTAATTCCCCTCTCCAAGTTCTCCACTGCCTTAATCGGGTATTGAACTCACACTCTTTTTGGTCCTGTCACTGGATCTAACCAACGCCTTTATCCACTGTGCCATGTATCCTGAGATTTGCTTGTCCCTTTCTTGATCTAAAACAATTGCGATGCATTCTTCATGAATGGAAACAACGGGTGTATGTTATGACTGAGTGTCGAGAGGGTTGTTCCTTTTGAAACCTGAAGAATGAGACAGTCAAGACTACCTGGGGGCCACATCTAAATAATTGGGAACACCTTCAATCGGAGGCCGTCTTCGGTTACCTGAATTGAATGTGTTTCTCACTGGGTCCCATCTGAAATATTATTCATTGCTTTTATCAAGAGCTGAGCTGCCAACATATTTGGCTGTAACGCATGTGTTTGGTATAAGCTTATAAGACCGAGTGTCATAATTAGTACATTGGGTTTGTATATTGGTACATAAGCGTCACTTTATTGGCATGTTGGTCTTTCTCTCAGCAACAACAAAAACAAAAATACTACTACCACTACTACAACTACTACTACTACTAACTCATTAATATTATTGTTGTTGTGGTTTCCTTTGATTTCTGTTGTATACTAATTTCCTTCCGGCTCCGACCCAAAGACCTAAGTCCAGAAATGACATCGTTACTGTCATGGGTCCTTACCTATAACTACAGAATGAACTCTTTCTAACACTATGTATACTACGCCTTTCAAGAGAGAGGGACGAATCGAGTCTAGCCGATAGTAGTTCACTCCAAACCAGACTGACAGTCATACTAACACCTTCCATATCTTGTATTATTATTTCGTGTAATATACCTTCGTTATTTCTACTCTTGTGTTCGTGTTGTTCTTCCTTGGTCCTAACCTGGACCATAACAATTACATTTTTCGCTGAACATTTTTTTGCAATAAAAAATAAAATAAAATTAAAACAACTTAAGATCACACGCATTTTACATGGATGAAGCTCTTCGTAAGGCGTGATCTGTACTTATGATAATATTTTTATTTTTATTGTATTTCTTTAAAGCATTAGCTAGCAGGGATCTTTTCAATGAGTCTATCAGAACATTTTCCAATCAAACCGAACACTCTAACCACATGTGGAAATATTGATGTCCTTATGTGCCACATTTCTGTGATTTCCTCTTCAAGATCCTTCTATTTTGATATTATTATTATTACTATTGTTCATGTTTTCAATTATATTATAATTTTTAGTCTTATTATTATTATTTTTATTTCCTTTGATTTCTGGCGTTTACACATTTCTTTCCGGGTCCCGCCCAGGGACCTAAGTTTAGAAATGGCATCATAACACTTTTCATTGACAAAAAAAAAAAAAAAATACATCGATAAAGCCCTTCGTAAAGTGTGGGCTGTACTTGTGAGAACAATTTTTTTGTATTTCTTTGAGGAATGGATTTCCAAGAATCCCTTCAATTACTCTATTGGAATCTTTTCCAACCAGTCCTAGGGCTCCAACTACAACAGTGATTGTTGATGTTCCCATATGCCACATTTTTTAGATTTCTATTCCAAGGTCCTTGTATTTTGACAGCTTTTTGAATATCTTCATTATTAATTATTATTATTATTTTATTTCCTTTGATTTCTGTTGTGTACACATTTCTTTCCGGGTTCCGCCCAGAGACCTAAGGTTAGAAATGGCATCATGACATTTTCCACTACAAAAAAAAAAAAAAAAAAAAAAAAAAAAAAAAAAAAGAAAAAATATTTTAGATAGATAAAGGCCTTCGTAAAGTGTGGGCTGTACTTGTGAGAACAATTATCTCCTTGAGGCATGGACTTCCAGGAATCCCTTCAATTAGTCTACAGGAATCTTTTCTAACCAGTCCTAGGGCTCCAAATACAATAGCTTTTTGAATATCTTCAAAGATACATTGCAGTCCGCAGGGACTGCCACATCAATAAGGAGGCACTTTATTTTTGTTTGTGGTCTCTAATAACAATGTCTGGACGGTTATTATTATTATTATTATTATTATTATTATTTGTATATGTTATGTTTCCTGCTTTGTATCTTGTAGAGCCGGGTTCAAACTATGGTCCTAGGGTCATATAAGAGAATTGTCATTTAATTGATAGCACTTTCATTACTATATGGGATGTTCCTATTAGGGTGATCATATGGGTAACTTGTATGTTGATGTTACCTGAGACACTGCTAGTAAAATTGTCAATTCTTTTTCACACGAGGCCCAGTGCTCCCATTACTATTGGTACAGTCTGAGTCTTCATTCCCTATATCCTGTTATTATTTTTATGTTTTCTGCTTAAGAGCCGGTTCCAAACTATGGTCCTTAGGCCATATAGGAGAATTATCATTTAATTGATAGCACATTTCTTAGTATATGGGATCTTCTCAGTAGGGCGATCATCATTGGGACATTGTCAGTAAAATTGTCTGTTCCTTTTCTCAAGAGGCCCAAAACTCTGATTACTATTGGTACAGCTTTAGTCTTCATTCCTCACATCCTGTTAATCTCGATCTCTGAGACCTTGTATTTGGACAAGTTCTCGATAATTATTATAATAATTATATTATAATATTATAAATAATAATAATAATAATAATAATAATAATAATAATAATAATAATAATAATAACATTGGTAAACACTGTGCCTTTTCTTTCAATTTTCTTTTCTTAAATGCCTCTTCTGTAAGTGTTGGAAAATACTGAAAGAGTGTTGTCAGTTATTTTGTTTATTTATTTATTGATATTAATATTTATTTTGTTCATTATTATTATCATTATGATTATCATTATTATTATTATTATTATTCATCTTTCCTGTGGATAGACACAGAAATACCAAGAAGCTCTCCTAAAAAATGTATAATAATAATAATAATAATAATATATCGTCTCTCTACGTCGAGATATGAAATCGACCCGAAAATTTACTTCAGAACTTTATAAAAGTCTTGGCATCTCGGTTCAGTGAGGGCCCAGAGGTATGTACTAAACATCTGAGGTTGCGGGTTGGAAATATATGTTCAGCGGAACAGAACCGGCTATTTTACATCTTTGAAGTTGAGATGAAAGGAAATAATAATAATAATAATAATAATAATAATAATTTCCATGAATGATATTGGCCTTTGCATGAAGAACGTCACGTGACCTTATCCATCAGCCACTCATATGAGTGATATTAAAAGTTTGAATGATAATTTTTCAGCCCTAAATCAAAATCCAAAACATCACCAGATAAAAAGTACATTTTAGGTAATATGATCGGTAGTGCAATTTTTGAACGACATTTTTATTATTTACTGGTGCAATATCCTTCTCCAGACCCCACATTGATTTTTCACTCTGGTTCAGCTGGTCATGATTGTTTTACAAGAGTCCGTTCTCAATTGATTACTTCATTATCACATTTTTTTTACTTAATTCAAACCAACACAAGGCCCAAGAGCCACTCAAGGTAAAGAGTTACTGAGTCATATTTTTTTAAGGACCTAAAGGAGGATGTGAGAAATACAATTTATGGGGATCTGTAGGATAGATATCGGTTGAGCCTGTACTTGGTTAAGAGGTTGAGATTTTCGTGATCAGGAAAGCACCATCCAAGGAGTCTGTTCCACAAAGTAGCATTTCTGAGAGGGTGAGGGAAGGAGGGGTTAAAAAGTGCGTGCTACGAGGATATGTAAGATAGATAATCAATCTCTCGAGCAAGCAGCGAACCAGGTAGGTCTTTATTGCAACGTGAGTAAGAGAGAATATATCACAACCTCCCCTGAACCATCTGAGTTGAAGTCATTCAATAATACATCCATCAAGAGAGTTGAGGACTTCAAATATCTTGGATCTCATATAATAGATTCCTAAAAAGACTTCAACATTCGCAAAGCTTTTGCATGGGATGCGTGTAACAAACTTCACAAGATTTGATGCTCAAACTTTCCACCTTCCTTAAAAGTGCAAACCTTTCAAACATTGATTGAACAAGTACTAACCTATGGATCAGAAATTTGGACATTATCTAGATGAACAGATACTACTATTTACTAAAAGAGTTTTCCAATAACTTGGACTGATTTTAAATGTGAATTAATTTTAAGCGCCTAATGATTTATGTACAAGCATGTTATCTATGCTCACAGAACATTTTTAGACAATCATGTATTGAATCTACTGTGGCCAGAAAATGGAGGATCTGCTTGATAGTTTAAAACGATTAAAAACTGATCCCCCACTTTATAACACGTCATTTATGTAAAGTAATTTTCAGACATTTAACTGATTTAGACAAATATGTACCGAAAACGGAAGGAAACTAAAAACAATCAAAAACTGATCCCCTCCATTTTATGCCACACCAACAGCAAACTAGGTAAGTCTTTATTGCAATTTGACCATCTGAGTGGAAGTCACTCAATAATAAATCCATCAAGAGAGTTGAGGACTTCAAATATCTTGGATCTCACAAAAAGACTTCAATATCCACAAAGTTTTGCATGGAATGTGTGTAACAAACTTCACAAGAATTGGTGCTAAAAACTTCCACCTGCCTTAAAGTTCAAACCTTTCAAACATTGATTGAGCCAGTTCTACTGTATGGATCAGAAATTTGGACATTATTTGCTTGTCTTGGAAGATGACTAGATGGAACATATACAAATCTACTTTGAAAATCTAGAACATCAGTTGAAGATCCTATGCAATGATTAACACAATTTATGGAGAACTGAGATCAATCTTTCTTTAGCACAAACAAAAAACAATTACAGTTTGCCAGCCACTGCCAACAAGCGAACAGGGAAATCATCTCACCCTTACTTCTATGGCATCCTTTTGGAAATGTCTTCTCACGAAAATTGACTTTCCCAGACACCATGGCTCGGGACTCAGTGTTGGACATTGGAGGTCTGGGGATAGCAATGTAGGACTGAACAGAGTGGAAAGGGATTGTCAGTGGAGTCAAAACACTATGAAAGTATAAAAATAGGTTTTAATACCAGCAATACATTTTTGAAAAAAAAATCTTGTCGGCATTAAATAATCCATTGAGGTTGATATGCCGTAAATACTTCAGAACAATTAAAAACTAAGCCCTCTTTTTATGCCATATTATCAATAATTTTCTAATTTTCAGGCACATTTATCTGCTTTAGACAAATATGGCCAGAAAATGGAGGATCAGTTTCAGAACAATCAAAAACTGATCACCCACTTTATGCCATATTATCAATATACATAAGTAAATCTTGATTATGTACAAGCATGTTATCTATGCTCACAGAACATTTTTAGACAACAATGTATTGAATCTACTGTGGCCAGAAAATGGAGGATCTGCTTGATAGTTTAAAACGATTAAAAACTGATCCCCCACTTTATAACACGTTATTTTTGTAAAGTAATTTTCAGACATTTAACTGATTTAGACAAATATGTACCGAAAATGGAGGATACTAAGAATAATCAAAAACTGATTCCTTCCTTTTTATGCCACACAAAAAGCAAACGAGGTAAATCTTTATTGCAATTTGTGTAAGAAAGAATATATCACAACCTACCTTTAACCATCTGAGTTGAAGTCACTCAATTATAAATCCGTCAAGAGTGTTGAGGATTTCAAATATCTTGAGTCTCACATAATAGATTCCCAAAAAGACATCAACATCCACAAAGCTCTTCATGGGATGTGTGTAACTAAGTTCACAAGATTTGACGCTCGACGCTTCCACCTTCCTTAAAAGTGCAAAAGAACATTGATTGAACCAGTTCTATTGTATGGATCAGAAACTTGGACATTATCTGTTCGTCTTGAAAGACGACTGGATGGAGCAGATACAAATCTACTTAGAAAAATCCAGAACATCAGACAATTTACGTAGAACTATGATCAGTCTGTCTTAAGCTCAAACAAAAGCGATAAGAGTTTGGCATCTTCCTGGAGCTGTCTTCTCACGAAAATTGACTTTCCCAGACGCCATTGCTCGGGACTCGGAGTTGGACATTAGGGATCTGGCAACAGCAATACATAACCGAACAGTGTGGAAAGGAATTGTCGATGGAGCCCCGACTAACCATAGGCAGATCGAAAGATGATAATGAGGAGGATAGGTATCTATTGAGCCTATACTTAATGATCTTAAGATTTTAGTGGCCCGGAAAGTATCCTCCAAGGAGTCCACAAAGTAAAAGTTCTGAGAGGGTGAGAGAAGGAGGTGCTAAGAAGTGTATGTTATGAAGATATGTAGGCTAGATATCGGCTGAGCTTATATTTGAAGATGTTAAGATTGTAATGATTATTGATTGATTGATCGATAGACTTGTATTTTACTGTTTATCAACAAATTGTGCTGTACTTAATGCTGAGACATATTTTTTATTATCGTGGGAGGTTGCTTACAGTACTTTCTATTCTCAAGTAATGCCCGGAAAGACGTTGCTTAACTTGGGTCCGTAGTCCTCTGTCGTTCAGGGTTGACCAATGGTAGCATCCTAATTGTCTGCTTGGCTGGAACATCAACGTCTGTGACTGTAGACGGGAGTGACTATCTCTGTTGCATAGTTCGAATGTATTTTGTGTCTCTGGTCTGTTGGAGCTGTCACTTTGCTTTCAGCGGGCCCGCCTTTTCGTGGCGACTTGTGTCAGCTTCTCTTCCGTTGAGTTGAGGTATTTGGTCAGGTTCCTCGCGTATGGCTGCCAGGCTCTCCCAGGTCTCTGTATTGATGTCCACAGTTTTCATGACGCGCCTCACAACATCCCGGTACCGCAGCTATGGCCGCCCGGCGGGTCTCCTTCCAGAGGCCAGCTTTCTATACAGGAGGTCTTTGGGAGTGCGGCCATTTGTCATGCGGTGGACGTGGCCTAAATAACGGAGTCTGTGCTGTCTGAGCAGTGTGAACATACTGAGCAGACCTGCTCGAGAGAGGACCTCAGTGTTGGGCACCTTGTCCTGTCTTCTTTATTCCCTCTATTTGTCTTTCTCTTCTTAATTCTTTCACTTTTTCTTTCTCTTCTTTATTCTTCCTTAATTTTTCTTTTATATCTTTTTATTTTCTCTTCTTCATTCTCACTCTTTTTCGTTCTCTTCTTCATTCTCCTTCTTTTTCTTTCTCTTCTTTATTCTTCCTTAATTTTCCTTTTTATATCTTTCTTTTTCTTTCTCTTTATTCTTTCTCTTTTTCTTGGAGATATTTGGTCAGGGTTCCTCTCCATTTGGATCGTATGGCTGCCAGGCTCTCCCAGGACTCTGTGTTGATGTCCACAGCTTTCATGTTGCGCCTGACGACATCGAGATACCGCAGCTATGGCCGCCCGGCGCGTCTCTTTCCAGAGGCCAGCTCTCCATACACGAGGTCTTTGGGGATCTGGCGTGCGATGGACATGGCCTAACCAACGAAGTCTGCGCTGTCTGAGCAGTGCGAACCTGTTGGACAGACCTGCTCTAGAGAGTGATTAAATGGTGAAAGAAGAACCGGTTTTTTTCAGCGTGATTATGTTAATCTATTCACTCCAAGCAAGGCAACAAAGACCCTAAGACTCAAGACTATTGGGTGTGAAAGAGAATGAAAAATCTTTTAAACTTAATTCTAAACATGAAACAAGGGATAAGCTTCTATTCCTGTTCAAAAGACCGGGGAGGAGTCTGAACCTGGACCTCTCTACTTCTATTGAAGAAAAAAATAAAATAAAAAATAAATAGTAAATAATATTTTATTTTTTAGGCGGAGATGTTATAAATATATAATTGAAGAAGATCTTTAGACCGAACAAACTCTTGGATATAATGATAAGCTACATTTCTTCTGATCGGGTGACTGAAGGTTTTGAGGAGCACAGAACCACCTCTTAATTACGGTTGTTCCCTAGACCACCTTGGCCCGGGGTTGTAGCAATTTTTAGGGTCCCAGCTATAGACAAATAGTGAACCTCCAAACTAAAACAAAACAAGATGGAAGTATAAAAATATATTTTTATAGTAAAAATTACTAGCAACACATTTTTATATAAAACAAAACTTACCAACAAATATATATTTATAATAGAATCACTAACAATGCATTCATCAACATGAAAGAACTATTTGTTGATATTAGTCCATATAATAGGCTATAATTTCTTAAAGAGATCAAACTGTATTCCAAAATATAACTTCAATAAAACTACAATATAAAACACACATATCACCGCCTCTAGTAATCATGTCTACACAAACATGTATCAGCACAAAAGCTGAGTATCATCTACCATGTATTCAATTGTGAAAGTAGAATAATCTATATCATATTTTAATTACTTCAAATCTCCCAAGATAATTAAATTTAAACATTAATTGACTCATAAG